CAAACGACAATTTTTGCAGAACAAACCAGCACAAACGTAGCACAGTTGATTGACACCCATTTTATTTGATTTAATTAATGTGAGGGGGCTGGTTGACCTCTGATGACCTCTAGAAATTTTGATTAATATCTTTAAAATGATAGCAGCACAAACGACAATTTTTGCAGCACAAACCAGCACAAACGTTTGATACCACTTTTGTTGGATTTGAAGAAGGTTGGGGGGGCAACTTCACTCACATATGTCATGTCTACTGAATTCTCATTTTTCATGCCTGTGGAGTTTATTATATGGACGTGGTGACAGTGTAAAGACAGCCTGCTCTTCTGATTTAACTTTTCAAGCATTCACACTAATTAGTGTTTAAACCTCCCATGGTTCTATATCTGGGGATGTGGCTTTGGTTTGCACTGATGAAAGCTTATAGTTGAAATGTGTTTGACGGTAAATGGTCAATAAAGAAGACAGCATTTTGTTTTGTTTTTACACAATGATTTTGTCATGTGTTGTGTGCAGGCAGGAACTGTGGACCCAATGTGCAGACACTTGGAGGTAAAAGTGTAAACTTAAAACAGCTTTAACGCTAAACACAAATATAACAAAAGCAAGAATACCAAAAGAAACTTACACAGGCAGCCAAACAGAACACACAGCATAGGATGAGGGAGATCGCGACAAAGACCAAAGAAAACTCAGGGCTTACATACCCAGAGAGAGCCATCAGGGAATGGGAGACAACAGAGAAACACAGCTGGGACAAATAAGGGTAGCGAGACAAGGGAAGCAAACCCAGATACATTAACATGAGACATGGACTTTCAAAGTAAAACAGGAAACATAACACAGACAACGCGGACTTGACGAGGGGATACAGCAGACAGGGGGAGACAGAACAACTATGTAACACAGAGACAGAAACCAGAAGACAGAACTCTAAGAAACCAAAAGACTAGAAATGATAAATAATGGCAAAATCAAAGTTCAATAATAATGTAAAACTCAAAATTTTGGGTCAACGAACCCAGGCACCCTAACAGATTTATTTTTACAGTTAATTTTTTTCTATTTAATTATTTAGTTACAGTCCACCATACCTCTGATCCCCTGTCAATCCATCCACCCCCTTTTTAATGGTGTATCTGATTCAGGGTCATGAAGGGCTGGAGCAGCTGTCACAGACTGAGCAAGGTACACCCTGTACAGGTCACCAGTCTATGGCAGTGTCCCACTGTGTGTAGCACAGATTTCACTCTCTGGCTTTATTTATAGCATAATAAGACATTTTACTTTTAAAAATCAAGGACACCAACAAGGCAGATAGGGCACATGCACTGGGGCCACAAATGTCCCAGGTTTAGTCCGTAATTCAATTCAATTCAATTTTATTTATATAGCGCCAAATCACAACAAAAGTCACCTCAAGGGGCTTCATAGATACAGAGAAAAACCCAACAATCATATGACCCCCTATGAGCAAGCACTTTGGTGACAGTGGGAAGGAAAAACTCCCTTTTAACAGGAAGAAACCTCCAGCAGAATCAGGCTCAGGGAGGGGCGGGGCCATCTGCTGCGACCGGTTGGGGTGAGAGAAGGAAGACAGGATAAAGACATGCTGTGGAAGAGAGACAGAGGTTAATAACAGATATGATTCAATGCAGAGAGGTCTATTAACACAGCGGTCCCTAAGCGCCACGGACCGGTTCATGCCCAACAATATTTTTACGGACTGGCCTAGTACCGGTACCGTAAAAAAGAAGATTTATTCATAACACACGTGAAAAGACCCAGGAAAACCGAGTTAACGATGAAAACGATAACAAAATAACGCTAAAAAAAAGATAAAAATCCTGAAAACCATACATTTCACACCTGAGCCTCAACTCTCAACTCTCGTGGCCCGGTACCAAACGACTCATGGACCGGTACCGAGGCCCGGGGGTTGGGGACCGCTGTATTAATACATAGTGAGTGAGAAAGGTGACTGGAAAGGAAAAACTCAATGCATCGTGGGAATCCCCGGCAGCCTACGTCTATCGCAGCATAACTACGGGAGGATTCAGGATCAGTGCTCTACGTGCTCTAATGGGGTGATATGGTACTACAAGGTCATTAAGATAAGATGGGGCCTGATTATTCAAGACCTTGTATGTGAGGAGCAGGATTTTGAATTCAATTCTGGGTTTGAAGGGAAGTCAAAACAGGAGAAATATGCTCTCTCTTTCTAGTCCCTGTCAGGACTCTTGCTGCAGCATTTTGGATTAGCTGAAGGCTTTTCAGCGAGTTTTTTGGACATCCTGATAATAATGAATTACAGTAGTCCAGCCTGGAAGTAATAAAAGCATGAACTAGTTTTTCAGCGTCACTCTGAGACAGGATATTTCTAACTTTAGAGATGTTGCGCAAATGGAAGAACGCAGTCTTACATATTTGTTTAATACGTGCGTTGAAGGAGATATCCTGGTCAAAAATTACTCCAAGGTTCCTCACAGCGTTACTGGAGGCCAAGGTAATGCCATCCAGAGTAAGAATCTGGTTAGATACCATATTTCTAGGCTTTTCAGGGCCGAGTACAATAACCTCAGTTTTATCTGAATTAAGAAGCAGAAAGTTAGCGGCCATCCAGGTCTTTATGTCTTTAAGACATTCCTGCAGTTTAACTAATTGGTGTGTGTTATCTGGCTTCATGGACAGATAGAGCTGGGTGTCATCTGCATGGCAGTGAAATTGTATGCTATATCTTTTAATGATGCTGCCTAGGGGGTGCATGTATAGTGTAAACAGAATTGGTCCTAGCACTGAACCTGTGGAACTCCATAATTAACCTCAGTGTGTGAAGAGGACTCTCCATTTACATGAACAAATTGGAGTCTATTAGATAGATATGATACAAACCACTGCAGTGCAGTACCTGTAATACCTACAGCATGTTCGAATCGCTCTAATAGGATATTATGGTCGACAGTATCGAATGCTGCACTAAGGTCTAGCAGGACAAGCACAGAGATGAGTCCACTGTCAGAGGCCATAAGAAGATCATTTGTAACCTTCACTAAAGCTTTTTCTGTGCTGTGATGAGCTCTGAAACCTGACTGAAACTCTTCAAATAAGCCATTCCTCTGCAGATGATCTGTTAGCTGTTTGACAGCTACTCTTTCAAGGATGTTTGATATGAAAGGAAGGTTGGAGATTGGCCTATAATTAGCTAAGACTGCTGGGTCTAGAGATGCTTTTTGAGTAAAGGTTTAACTACAGCCAGCTTGAAGGCCTGTGGTACATAGCCGATTATTAGAGATAGGTTGATCATATTTAAGATTGAAGAATTAATTAATGGCAGGACTTCTTTGAGCAGTTTTGTAGGAACGGGGTCTAAAAGACACGTTGATGGTTTGGAGGAAGTAATTATTGAAGTTAACTCAGAAAGATCAATTGGAGAAAAAGAGTCTAATATAACATCAATGGTACTAAGAGTAGCTGTAGATATTACATCTGTGGGATGATTATTGGTAATTGTTTCTCTAATGATAAAAATTTTATTTGTGAAGAAGTTCATGAAGTCATTACTAGTTAACGTTAAAGGGATGGTTGGCTCAAAAGAGCTCTGACTTTTTGTCAGCCTGGCTACAGTGCTGAAGAGAAACCGGGAGTTATTCTTATTTCTTCAATCAGTGATGAATAGTAAGATGTTCTGGCTTTGCGGAGGGCTTTCTTATAAAGCAGCAAACTATTTCTCCAGGCTAAATGATGATCCTCTAAATTTGTGACACGCCATTTCCTCTCCAGCTTACGAGTCATCTGCTTTAGGCTATGTGTTTGAGAATTATACCACGGAGTCAGGTACTTCTGATTTGAGACCTTAGTTTTCACAGGAGCTACATACGGTGGCCCTGAAGTGCAAATCACACAAACAAATTGCTAAACACAACAACAAAATTGAGAAACAAAAAAACAAATGGAGAATCACAAAAACAAAACTGAGAATCACAAAAACAAAATTGAGAAGCACAAAAACAAAACTGAGAATCACAAAAACAAAATTGAGAAGCACAAAAACAAAACTGAGAATCACAAAAACAAAATTGAGAAGCACAAAAACAAAACTGAGAATCACAAAAACAAAATTGAGAAGCACAAAAACAAAACTGAGAATCACAAAAACAAATCAAGAATCACAAAAACAAAAGAAGAATCACAAAAACAAATCGAGAAGCACAAAAACAAAAGAAGAATCACAAAAACAAATTGAGAAGCACAATTACATTAAGAAAACCGGAAAGGGTAGGTACCAGTCGGCAACAGGAGACATCACTGATTGGACGTCCGCGCTGTTCATCTTTGGAACCGGAAGTTACTCTGCCTGTGGCGCATTTTTTTCAAACATGAACATTAGCGGTGACCCAAACATAGCTGTCGCTATTCGAGAATATTTTGATTCAGGACATACATACGAGGTGATACTGGATATGCTCAAGTGTAATCGTGACATTTCAATTAGTATGCGTACACTGAAAACGCATTTAAAAGAATCTGGACTGTACAGACGAGGCAACTATTCTCCACTTCCTGAGGTGAGGCGTGCCATTTTGGCCGAGCTTCGAGGACCAGGACAATTGTTTGGATATCGGACCATGTGGCAAGTTCTCAAACAAAAACACAAGCTGCGTGTCAAGCGTGATGTAGTTATGAGGCTGTTGAGACAACTAAATCCTCAAGGAATCGCTTTGAGAACTCGAAGGAGGTTCACAAGACGCACGTATCACTCCATGGGGCCCAATTACATATGGCATGTAGATGGCTATGATAAACTGAAACCCTTTGGCTTGGCCCTGTCAGGATGTATAGATGGCTTTTCAAGAAGACTGATGTGGCTTGTGTGTGGAGCAACAAACAACAACCCGGCTGTTATAGCTCACAATTATATAAACTGTGTAAAGAGTCTTGGTGTGATACCAATGAGATTACGAACAGACTTCGGGACTGAGAATGGGACTGTGGCAGCAATACAGTGTACCCTCCGTCACGCGCACACGGACTATTATGCTGGATCGTCAAGCCACAGTTACGGATCATCTACTGGGAATCAGCGCATCGAGTCATGGTGGTCTTATTTCAGAAGAGGAAGGTGGGTACATTTGTGTCTGGTAGGTGTAAGCTACAGTGAAAGCTGATCAGATCGTTTTTTTTTTACATGCATTTATTAAGAAAATAGAGTAGCGTCCTGCTGGACGTGTTGAAAAGTTGGATGAGATAGACGTTAACAGCCGTCACTTTATTGCAGGAACTCAAAATGGTCACTGTCAGCTGTTGTGCCGAAATGAGCATGCTTGCCTAGATTTAACGACGCCAATACAAAATGAAAAACTCAGACCAAACTCTCCACTCCTCACAATCAACACACAGAACAGAGTGAAAAGAATACAGCATTTTTAACAAGAACATTACTGCAGGGTCGCTACAATATTTATGGAAAACTAATATGCATTACTTTGTTTGACATCCATTTGTGGCATGTTTTAAATGGGACCAAAATGTAACAAACCCTATAAAATGACCAAGAACAAAGCTAAATTGATTCTTAAATATTAATTATATACCCAGGTCTCAGTTTTGGATGGACTTGTTTGGAGACCTAAGAGACTCTGGAAACTTAAATGGAAGCCACGAACACCAATGCTTGCTGAGATTCTGCTTCAGAGGGGTTCTACAGAAAGACCTGGATGAATGCAAAGACCTCTGGAACAAACACAGGATCCGGCCAAGCAGACTTGCATCGTGTCCAGGGGGGATTCCAAACGAACTCTATCTCTTGCCTCACAGGTATTTGAGTTCTTAACAAAATGAATTAACCTTTTGCATCAAACTAAATGCAAGGTGTTGTTATTGCTTAAGTTGGTTAATATATATTCATAATTTTACACATAAGTATGATACAGCAGTTTATAACATGTCACTGCATGCGTTGATTTATATAGTTCCATATTGTCAGCAAAAAATCCTTCACTGTTCTATTTTCATTTTGCAGATATGGTTCAAGAGACTGTGGATTTGCTGTTGAGGAGAGGGAACTGGATGTGTTTCCCGAGGAGGGGCTACCGGTTGGATTGTGTGGTGATCCAAACATTGAGGAATATTTACAACAGGCTGTACAACAAAACACACTGCAGCAGCCACAAGACTGGGAATCGGCCACAGAACTGTATTTGGCCCTGAAGGACATAGCTGGGTTTTAGATACCAACTGAACTTCAGTTTGTAATGACATTTGTCAGAGTTACTCTGACGAAGACACACACTGTGTCGAAACATTAGTTTCTTTCCTTTTTTTGCACCTAATAAAACCTTTGGACTTGAGTGCTCCAGCCCTTCTGTTTTTCCTTCATTTTTTTAATGTTAGTGTTTCCTTTCCCTCTTGCTAAATTGAATATAATATTGTTCATAATATACATCCACATGTGGGGCGGAGAGATTTCGCAGGTCTTTCCTCCCCTCTGCTTTAGACTCTACAACAAAGAATTTGCAGCTGATCAAACACACAAACCCACAAATGTGCAATAAGACTAAGTGCAATACTCTTTTTCTGACAAAGTTGTATTATAGCATTTGTATTCTATTTTTATCCTATTGTATATATTATTTTATTTTATTCTATTGTATATAGTATTTTATTTTATTCTATTCTATACAGTATCTTATTTTTATTGTATTCCAGTGTTCTCTAATTTTTGCTATATAACTTTGCACTGTCCACTTTCTGCTGTAACAAAACAAATGCCCCATGTGTGGGATGAAATAAGGTAATCTTATCTCATCTTATCTTAAAACAACTGCTCAAAGCTCAGCACCGCCTCCAGCATCTGAAATGACTATCAGCAAAGCCAAGGTTACACCCACTTGAGGGGAAAAAGCCTCCTGGGTCTCAACCCTCCTGGGAAACAGTGATCTGCTTTCAACATTAATCCACTCACAAACAAGGTATTACAGGAGTGTACAGGAGAATCAAGAGTCACGATGGCAGAATCTAAATCTAAAAAACATGGATTTAAAAAATGTCGGAGTGCCACGTTCAGCATTGATGGCTTCAGCTTTACAATTGGTAAGAGACTTTGAAAAAAACCCCCAAAAATATATATATATATATATATATATATATATATATATATATATATATATATATATATATATATATATATTCATTCATTTATTTATTTATTTATTTATTTATTTATTTAAACACGGTATGATCTCATATTTGGGTCTATGCAACACTGAAGCATAATTTCTGTGTTAATGCTTAGTAGTTTTCTATCTAGCTTATGAATTCTTAAATGACTACTCTTTAATCAGAATGTGATTATCACAACCTTTTCAATATGAAAATTTTGAGATGAAATTATATTGTGAATGAGGTACTGCCTATATTTACATTAACAGAACTAGATCCCTCTGTGTGTGTGTGTGTGTGTGTGTGTGTGTGTGTGTGTGTGTGTGTGTGTGTGTGTGTGTGTGTGTGTGTGTGTGTGTGTTTGGTCAGGGTATAGATATTAGGGTTTTGTTGGGAATTTGTCAAATGAATGTAAGCCAGTATATTTTTCTCTGAATTGATGAAAACTACAGCAGAAAATGGTCACAAAGGATAATTTGCCTGTTCTTTATCTCTGCCTCACAATTAGTGATAATAACTCCCTGAGCTCAGTATCCTAACAACTGACAACACATATTTAATTGGACCAGTCAAAATGATGACATAGTCATTTCCCATGCCTTCTGGTTCTCATGGATACTGCGGTATGTAAACACAAACACACAGAGAGATGTGTGCTTGAACACACATACTCACATAGACACATTTGGGGGCACACTATATTACGTATTCACTCACTCATCCACAATACTGATTCAGATTAGTTTGAAAACAGTGTTTGGGGAGAGCTTCATTAAATGGCTAAGCAGCTGCATCCAAGCCTTAGATCACCAAGCAGAATCCAAAGCATCAGATGCAGTGGTGTAACGCACCGCACTACTGGAGTCTAGAGCAGTGGACACATGTCTTCTTGAGTGATGAATCACGCTTCATCATTTCGCAAATTGGATTACAAGTCTGGGTTTGGTGGTTGCCAGGAGAATGGCACTTGTCTGACTGCATTGTGCCAAGTGTAAAGTTTGGTTGACGGGGGATTATGGTGTGGGGTTGTTTTTCACAAGTTGGGCTTGGGCTCTTAGTTCCACTGAAACGAACTCTGCTTTAGCATAGCAAGACATTTTGGGCAATTTCATTCATAAATGGTATATGAACTGGTTCACTTCTCTATTCTACCTGAGCACTCAAAGCGCTCTATACAACCTGCCTCATTCAGCAATGAAAAAAGGCTTTGCATAGAACACACACACACACACACACACACAATCACAGTGTTACCATTTTGTAAAACAAGGTTTAGATAACAAACAAGTGTATTTAACCCTCTGGGTTCTAGGGTAAAATTAGCTGTTTTTGATTCATTTTACCTCTATACAATCTCACGTCTGAACTTACAGTTATTTTTTCAAGTTGACATATGGTATTAAGACAATTGAACTAAAATCAGACAACCCCCCCCCCAAAATCTGAGTATGTTTTGACACACACACAAAAAAACGAGTACACTACACACTAACTAGACACTTCAAACGCACTAGATGTCACAAATCTCTCACATCTCAATCCAATAGAGAACAGGTGGGTTTTTTTGTTTTTGTCTTTTTGCTCACAAGCAGAGTGCTTGCTAGCGTTGTCTTTAGAAAGCAACTTTTTAAACATCTGTTCCTGCATTAAACGTGATGATAGCTTTTATGTGCATTCCTCGACCCCACAGTTCAACAGCAAAAGCCTTTCTCTGTGTAAGGTAGTATTATGATTTTCATAAGATTTTACTCCAAGCAAATTAGTTAGAGGTTTCATGTTGATACAAAAACGCTTTTAAGACAACTTGCATGTGTCTTCCAACATCTTTCATAAGACAAAGCTGTATCTTAGTATATAACAAAACAGTCTTCCGCAGTCAAAATGCATTGGTTAAGGTGTATCCATTTTTTTTGTAACAGACTACAAATTATACTTAATTTATTGGATGAATCTTGGACAGAAGGTCTGAACAGGCAAGAAAAATAGATTCAAATATCTGAATTATGAAAGTTTCAAACTTTTACATTTCTGATTTATATTAAGAATTACAATTTTAAGAGTATTTATTACAATTATGCTTCACAGTTGCCAATGAGGCAGGGGACAACAACCAGCGCCCACTACCCCTCTTTTCACGTAAGTTCTGCACAGTATATGTAATTTTCTATATACTTGAAAGTGTCTTTAGGCCATGATGAATATATGTATTTTGCTCACTAAAATACATAAAAGTCTCTGGATATTCAGGAGTTACGTTAATGTGGTGTGTGTTACTGGTAACAATCTGTATTAAAATTGTCCAGGTTCACGGTCCCAGAATGCACTGTGCACTGATGTCACAGCTCAAACAGGTGTCACTGACTCCAAAGAAATTCTGATCGACCCACGCAGTGCTGATGAGATCCTGGCTGATGAACTGCCAATCCTTGATGCACCAGACAGCATTGAGAAGACTGCTATAAGGTCAGATTTGGACACATACATAAAAATAACTATCAAATAGATAGACACACATCGTTTATTTCTTTAAATGGTCTTAAAGAATGTTTTTCTTGAACGGCATTCAAATCTCTTCTCTTCTTTCTTTGTTGGCTGCCTCTTCTTCCATTCTCTGTCTCTGTCAGATTGCTTCAGTAATATTGAAAATGTGTCGATGTGGTTTTTCAACCAGGAATAATGCATTGGCAGTGTGTTTTGGATCATTGTCATGTTAGATAGTTAAGATACTGACAAAAAGATTCTTTCCAGTCAGTAGAAGTGTGCCTCAAAAATGCATTACAATATTTTTAAAAAAATGCAATAACAACATTTTTGAAAATGTAGAAGAAAGTAATCCTGAAAAATGTTTTATTGATGCTTGTAGGCAGCAGCATTTAGAAATAAAAATAAAGGTAGAGCATTTCTATTCTTTTTCTACTGAGTTACTGTCAATGATTCAATTTTAATCAGTTCAATTTATTTATTTATACAGCACCAAATCACAACAACAGTTGCCTCAAGGTGCTTTATATTGTAAGGTAGACAGAGAAAAAAAGACAACAATCATATGACCCCCTATGAGCAAGCACTTTGGCGACAGTGGAAAAGAAAATCCCTTTTAACAGGAAGAAACCTCTGGCAGAACCAGCAGGGCCATCTGCTGCGACCGGTTGGGATGAGAGAAGAGACACTACCCAATTTGAAGAGCGACTCTGTTGAAATAAGATGCCTGGAATTTTATATTTTGGTTCAGGCTTTTAAACCAGCTGCCTAAACCACTGCTTTTGCAACATGTAACCACATCAGTAATTTCTATCTTTGCTTTTCTTATTCTTTTGTAGTGCAACTAGGGAGTACTTCAGGAGCAGTTGGTGTAGTTGTCTTTACGTTTGCTTAGGACATCACCTCGTTCTTCATAGCTAAGTTTTACTCAATGGTGTTTATGCCTTAAGTGGTGAAACAAATTTGTTGTTTATACTTTTAACAGGAACCTTTTTTTTTTTTTGCATATTTTAGAAAGTACTTGGTTGGCAGTTGTTAAAGTAGCTTCCTTTTAGTTTCTACATTGTTGAAAAATGGTGAATGACATTTGCTATCAGTTATGCCTGGGCTTGTTTCATTATTGTGAAACCTAGGTAACATAAACACTTGGTGTTGATATGGCACTGATGTTGTAATATGACATTTTAATGCCACATAACATTTTTAATGGGTAATATTTAGAGCTGGGCGATATGAGATTTTTTCATATCACGATATGTTTTTTTCATTTCAGGCGATAACGATATCTATCACGATATAAGCCAAATAACTGTATTTATAAGATTTAAATGTGCCGTTGCTCACAAGTAAAATGTGAAATAATCAGCAGCTTGTTTTTATTTAAATATTTATTTCCCATAATAAGTTCAACAGGGTAGATGTACTTAAGGAACATGAGACTTTTTCAGATAGATAAAGGCAAATATTGCAAACTACACAAAAGGCAGCGGCTAAAGCGTTTAAGTTTCAAAATAGAACAAACGAAACAGACTAAATTGTCAATTCCACTTAGAAACAAAATATTAATTCTAAAAATAAATCTTAGTTTGTTTTACAGAAGAACAGACAAAACTGACTAACTTTTGTCAATATCAAATAAACT